CCTCAGCGTAAGAGCGCGGGGTCAGGATGTCTGGTGCATCCGGGTCTCCCTCAGGTGTAATCAGCATGGACACCTGATGAGGTACAGCAGCTGCAAAACACTCAAAGTCCTCTTGCTTGTCCTCAAGGACGTCCGTGCCAAGAGCAAACTCACCCCTAACGAACGGAGGACAGACAGACTTAGACTCAGCAACAAGACTAGCGCCATAGTGGAGACGACAGGCGGCAGCAAAGTCAACAAGCTCAGCAACTAGGGCAGACGCAGCACTAGACTCAAACGAAGGGTCAGTGACAATAGTGGCATGAAGACGGGTGACAGTAGGACTGGCAGCACGAACCAAGTCAGTCTCAGTGTTGGGACTGTCAGCAAGAGAGGACGTAGGCGGAGACGGCAGGGGAACTCGCAGTGGAATTGAGGAAGGACGAAGTGCCATAGTGTGAGTGCTGAGCACAGGGGGAGGACGCTCACGAGAAACACGCCGACTAGTGTGAGCAGTGTGAACAGGTGAGGCAGGACAAAAATCAGGGTCACGACGCTCTGTAAGACCTACGGTCTGCTCAGTCTAAGGAGAAGGAGCAGGCACGGGGGAGGCTGGCTGTAACGGCGGTGGGCACAGTAGAAGACGGGAGACCAAGAACCTGCTGAAGGAGTGAAATGAAGTACAGTCGCGGTCGCACAGTGCCTCCAGCTAGCACCAACAGCACCAGCACCCCCAGGGCCAGCGCCTTCAGCTCCGGGGTCTCCAGCTCCAACTGTTAGAGACTAAGGACGGAGTGTATGAAGATTAGGTGTTCAAATTTCTCAAAATCGTTGGTCTCAATTTCTGGAAAGAAACGTAGACTTCACAAGAAACGTTGTCGACGAAAGGTGCACTGCTAGAATCCCACGAAATTCGAATATGTTGTAGCCCTAGACTGTGGCTACATTTCCCAATTTGAATCGTATCACATTATGAAGCATATCTCGAGTTATGCGTTTCGGCGCACTAGAGGGTATGCTGCCACAGAAATTTAACTCAATCCCAATTAACTCACAAGTCCCACAAAAGAACATTAGAGTAGCACTAAACCTGGTAGGAGGGGAAGAGGAGGACGAGAGGGAAGGTCCCAAGAGAGAGTCCCCAACCAAGGAAACCCCATGCCACACAATTCCCTTCCCCATAGGCAACAAACTTTGACCTTTGTCACTTTCCAACCCATGCCATCCACCTCACCACAACTTGGCCACACTTACCAACCTGGTTTGGCTTCACCCAACCTCTTGGCAGCATTTATAGTGATGGGTTTGAATTTCCCAACCCCCACAAGTCTGTACCTCATATTGAGTCAATGCCACAACTTCCCAAAGTAGCTGCAACCAAAATATATAAGCATACGAACTCCAATGTTCGTAACTTTCTTGGTTGTGCTCCGATCGCAACATATGGTTCGTCGGAAAGCTCTTGAGTAGAGGAATCACTTCAGATATCTGCTCAAGCCAAATAACATACACACACACACACACAGAAAATCCAAACCACACAAGACACAAGTTTCTTGCACACGCTCACACCGCGCATGCAACGCACAAACACATGATGGGAGGCAGACAGACGTGAATGCATATGGTTGCATCACACAACTCCAACGCCTACAGCACCACCAGCTCCAGCAGCTCTAGTACCTCCAGTACAAGCACCTCTGGGACCAGCGGCTCCAGCACCTAGCATCTCCAGCTGCAGCGCCTCCAGCTCCAACTCCTACAGCACCTCCAACTCCAGCAGCTCTTGTACCTCCAGTACGAGCACCTCCGGGACCAGCAGCTCCAGCACCTCCGCTACCTCCGGCGTCAGCGCCTCCTGCTACAATGCCTGCAGCACCTTCAGCTCCAGCAGCTCCAGTACCTCCAGTACGAGCACCTCCGGGACCACCGGCTCCAGCGCCTCCAGCACCTCCCCTCCGGGACCACTGGCTCCAGCACCTCCAGGACCAGCAGCTCCAGTGCCTCAAGTGCCAGAGCCTCCAGCGGCAGGCCCCTTGGCTCCCGCAGCGCCACTGTGAAGGCTCCAGCGCCGAGCAAACCACTCGCGCAGCTGCGGTGGAGAGAGAGGATCCCGCTGTGACGGGACACCCGTAGGACCTCCAGCACCGCCAGGACCAGCAGGTCCAGTACCTCCGGTACCTCCAACTCCAGCACCTCCAGCTCCAGCGCCTGCAGTACCACCGGCTCCAGCAGCTGCAGTACCTCCAATACGAGCGCCTCTGGGACCAGCGGCTCCAACACCTCCAACATCTCCAGCTCCAGCACCTCCAGCACCAACTTCTACAGCACCTCCAGCTCCACCAGCCCCAGTAGCGCCGCTCTAAAGGCTCCAGCGCCAAGCAAACCACTCGCGCAGCTGCGGTGGAGAGAGAGGCTCCCACTGTGACGAGGCACCCTTAGGACGACCAGCCAACAAAGGACCTTCAGGCTCAGCACGCTCAGGCTTAGCACTCCCAGACTCAGCACCCCCAGGCTCCACACGCTCGAGCTCAGCACCCACAAGCTCCACACCCTCAGAATCAGCAACCCCAGGCTCAGCACCCGCAGGCTTAGCACCCCCAGGCTCTGCACCCCCAGTCCCCGCACCCCCACGCTCCGCACCTCCAAGCTCCGCACCCCCAGGCTCTGCACCCCCAGGCTCCGCACGCTCAAACTCAGCACCCCCAGACGCAGCACCCCTAGCAGCACTAGAGTCGACAGCTACCTTGACAGGCTTGCCAGGGTCTACTTGGGACATACCTGAGGGAGCAGGACCCTGAGGGGGGAGGGGGTCTGCCAGAGGAGGACCTGGTGCAAGGAAGAACGGCGGGGGGGGGGGGGGAAGGGGCAGTGTGGTAGGGGAAGTGAAGGTAAAAGGGAACCGACCCGTCAAACGTGACGTCCTAAGAGGGCAGGACACGGTGCGAGGTGGAGTGGTAAAACTGCCAGCCATGTGCGTCATGGGGAAAACCAAGGAAGACACAGGGAATGGCGCAGGAGGCGAGCTTGTCCGTGGAAGAATCACGGACAAAGGCACGAGAGCCCCAGATCCGGAACACCGACGCATCGCCAACCTCTCCCGTCCAACGCAGTGTCGGCAAGGTCTCCAGCAAGGAGACACGGGGCCAGAGGTTGAGTTGATGCGCACCGTACCCGACGGCAAACGACCACAAAAAATGGGGGGCAGCCGCATGGATCATGGAGGTACGAGCAACCTCCATGACTAAGCCAATGCGGCACTCAGCAACCCCATTCTGCTGCGGAGTGGCCGAAAGCGTGAACGACTTGGTGATGCCCTCCCCACGACAAAAGTCCCGCAAGAGGTTGGAGGCAAACTCACCACCTCTGTCAGGGTGTAGACGAAGGACCGGAAGGTCCGTGTTGAACCGTTCGCGAAGCTGGAGACGGACAGCGCGGATCCAAGGGATCAAAACAATAGGGACCTCCCCCTTGCTGCGCAAGGGGAAGACCGTGGTGCAACGCGAGTAGTTGTCAAGAACCAGCAAAAAGTATCGCTCGCGACCCTGTCCACGAACGCGGGCTGGGCCCCACACGTCCATGTGGAGAGTCTGCAGGGGAGCAGTTGTCGGGGGAAACGAGGAGGAGTGAGGAGCGGCGCGCTGCCGCCCCTCGACACAAGGAAGGAAGGGAGGGGCAGGCGAGGGTGGGAGGGAAGGCAGAGACCTGGGAAGACCAGAGATAAGGAGACGGGAGTGCATGCCACAGAGGCGTGGCAGGGAGGGGTGACCAAGGTGGTGGTGCCACAGGAGAGTCTGGTGTGACAGGGCGCGTCACGAGCAAGGGGCCACAAGCTGACCTGACACAGACGCAGAAGCAGACGCAGCTACGTGAGGAGGCTCAGTAGTCAGTGTGTACAGGCTCGACCCAGGTTGACGGGTGAACGTGGCCAGGTGACGGCCCGTCCGCGCACACGTGCAGATCACCACATGTTGTCCTCCAGGGGTAAACGTATCAACCAAAGCATCCTGAAGGATGGCGTTACTCACCAAGTTTGTAAAGAAAGTGGGGAAGACCTGACAGTAAGCCAGACGGAACCGCCGGACACGGGAGAACAGTGGAGGAACGTGCAATAACCAGTCCCCCAGAGGGGTCAGCCAGAGAGACTGCAACTAATGCTGCAAGTGGTGTGACTATGGTGCTGTCGCAAGAAAAGCAGCGAGAAGCACCTGAGTCAAGTGTGAAGGTGTGCAAGGCCTCAGCAGGCGTAGTATCAGAGAGAGCAGACTCACCAGCACCTAGAGCAGCATCCTCTATACCAGGGTCGGGCGGCACACACAGGTAACAATCACCCTGAGTACTAATAGTCAAAGGATACATGGCAGTGAGGATAGCGTCATAGTCTAGAGCGAAGATATCGGCATCATGCCTAAGTAGCTCTAGTCAGCAGGGGAGCTCTGCCGTGTCGCCAAACTCTGCATGCCAGGTGTCGCTCAAACAGGAAAAGCCGCAGGACTGTGTGTGACGAACTGTCCTGCAAGTCTGACCCGCCTGATCACCTGTGCGAATGACGTACGGGTAGGGAGCACTACTTCAAGATGCCCCACGCTGAGCAAACGACTAACGAAGCTGCTGGGGCGTAAAGGTCTCACGCAAACGCCGCTGCAGCTAAATCTGGCCACAGCCATAAACACCCCTCTGAACAGCTACACTACGACTGCTACTATTGCCACCGCGACAACCCCAACTAGCGTACCACTCGCGAAGCTGCTGGGGCGTGAGGGTCTTGCGAGGACGCCGCTGCAGCTGCAGCTGGCCACCACCAGAAACTCCCCACCAAACAGCTCTGCCGAGACTGACACTACGGGCGCCGCCACCACTCCCACTTCTGCCACCACCGCCGTCACCACTCCCATCGCTACTACAAAGTGAAGTCATAGCGGGCAAGCAAGGAGGCGCGCGACCAGTAGGGCAGTACGGAGGGAAGGCAGTAGCATGAGGAGCAGCGACAGCAATAAGAGCAGCAGAGCGGCTTGGTGAGGCTAGGCTGCAGCACCTCCAGCACTCCTAGCAGCACCTCCACCAGCAGCAGCACTAGCACGAGCACCTGGGCAGATCGGGTTGGGCAGAGCCGCTCGGGCTGGGCGGCGCGGCTCGACCTGGGTGTTGTCGGCAGCAAGGCACGCGCTGTGTAGGGCAGCAGGGTGCGACGTGCGGGCTGCAGTAAGGCGCGACGCGCGGGGCAGCACAACGCGACGCGCTGGCTGCCGTAGGGCGCGACGCGCAGGGCAGCATGGCGCGACGTGCGAGCTGCAGCACAGCACGACGCGCGGAGCAGTAGAGTGCGACACGCGGGCTGCAGTAGGACGCGACGCGCAGGGCAGCAGGGCGTGACGTGCGGGCTGCAGCAGGGCGCGACGCGCAGAGCAGTAGAGCGCGACGCGCGGGCTGCAGCAGGGCGCGATGCGCAGGGCAGGAACCCTGCAGACAGGGTGCGCTGGGTCAGGAGCTGCTCGCGGGAAGAGGCTGTAGGGGCGGCGCAACTCGGGGCAGGGCAGGGCGGTCGCGGGGCAGTGCGACGCGGGGCAGGGCAGGGTATGCGCGGGGCGGCGCGACGCCGGGCAGGGCAGGGCGTGCGCGGGGCAGCGCAACGCAGAGCAAGGCACGGCGTGCGCAGGGCGGCGCAATGCGGGGCAGGTCAGGGCGTGGGGTAGCGTGGTAACCACAATCGGTTACTAGCTAATGGTGGGCCCGAAAAATAAACGGTCCAACAGACCTACTACTTTGAAACCATGTCCGAATCTAGTGAGCAGGAATGAATGCATTGATCAAAAACATGGTACAAGTGCTAATCTTAATTGGGTTGTACTCCATATAGGCTACCCCACTACAGCCTACACAACACAAGCAGCTTTATAGTTTGACACTAGGTAGAACCCACCAATATATCCCGTGCATAAATTGGTGAGGTACCTCGTCGTGGGGAGTGGGACCACAATCGTAATGACTCAGGAAGACCTGGTGCAAATTTGCCGCTTGTGTAGCCAATTGATGGTTCGCTGAAGCACGTGGTTTTGGGGAGGGGGGCGAACGAGAGAGGACGGGAATAAAGGACAGAAAAAAAAATTGAGAGGGTTAGCGAAGGTGTGAGAGAAGGAAGAGAACATAATGGTCCACCCTTAATAATAATAATTTTTATTTTTATATTATTATAATTATTATCATCATCATCATCGTCATCATCATTAAAAAAAAAAAAAAAAAACAGCACACACACATGCGCATGCATGCATAGAAACGAGAATCGAGCGTGGCAACGTGGGCGCACCATGGTTGGTGCCACACTTGGGCTAAACGCGCTAGGGCACTTGAGACTGGCGAGCAGCGCCACCATGCCGCTCACGCTGTGCCCCACACACACCACATTCTCCACCTCAACGCCCTGCCACCCCTTAACCGGCCCCACTTTGCCCTGCCCCTCGCCTTGCCCCTCACCCCCTGCCTCCCCCAGTGCATCAAGCACTTTAAGTAAGTCGTTGGCATGCAGGCAGAGCGAGGCGTAGCGCTGGAAGTCGTACGACGTGGAGGGCGTGCTGAAGGCGCCCATCAAGTCCCACAGCACCACGCGGAACGAGCGCCGCAGATCCAGGTGGGACAGCATGCCGTCCCACACCTGCGCCATTGCGGAAAAGGGAAGGGCGAAAAGCAACTGAAAAGTTACTGCCTCGTAACTTTTCCGTTGCATTGCGCTCGCAAAAAAAATAGTCTTAATAAAAAATAGTGGTAGCTTAAGTCACTTGCAAAGTGACTTTCCCGTCACTTTTACGGTACAAACTGTACACTTTGACGGAACTGCTGGTGAACAGTAAAGCAACCAAAACGAGTCTTTTGAGCAGCCTCGGCGACAGTGTATCGACACCGCCACATGGCAAACGACGTACTAGTGATGAAACTGAAACGTGCTGACGTGGCTGTTTACGTACTCTAACAACAGCCTGTCAGAATGTTATAATTATCTAGCCTGCAGTGGGATACTCTATAGCGAGTACAACCCAATTTGGGTTTCCTATATGTATGCCAACTGCTGCTAGTGCAACCTCCCCTTCTTCATTCTCATTTCTCACATGCTATCAAAGCATCTACGCTCCTGGCCTGTGGGCCCACCTAACTGCTTCCGCTGCTACTCTGTGTGTTGCACGCCCCGTGGCGTGCGACGGACCTTTTTTCTTCCCCTCATAGAGGCCCCTCTCACGGCCCCTCGCGCTGCCCTTAGCGGCTTCGTCGCCGCCCTTCTCGGCCCCTCGAGGCCCCTTCGCGGCCCCGTCGCCGCCCCTAGCGGCCCCGTTGCCGCCCTTCCAGGCCCCTCGCGGCCCCTTCGCAGCCCCGTCGCCACCCCTAGCGGCCCCGTCGCCGACCTTTGAGGCCCCTCGCGGCCCCTTCGCGGCCCCGTCGCCGCCCCTAGTGGCCCGTCGCCGCCCTTCCAGGCCCCTCGCGGCCCCTTCGTGGCCCCGTCACCGCCCCTATCGGCCCCGTCGCCGCCACCAGCGGCCCCGTCGCCGCCCCTAGCGGCCCCGTCGCCGCCCCTATCGGCCCCGTCGCCGCCTCCAGCGGCCCCGTCGCCGCCAGTTGCGGCCCCGTCGCCGCCCCTTTCGGCCCTGCCTCGACCCTGCCCCGGCCCCGCTCCGGCCATGCTCCGTCGTCTATCGCAGCACACCGGGGGCCCGTGCACCGCCCCCCCCCCTCTTTTCCCGTCGCCTGTCGAGGCGACCTGGGGGGGGGGGGCGAGCGTCGCCCCTTCTGCCGCCTGTTTTGGCGCCCTGGGAGGCCGATCGTTGGCCCCCCCTCCCCCCCCCCCCCCCCTGTAACCTCCCTACCCGCCGTCCCGCCCTACCCTGTGTTAGGGTCTGGGGGTGGCGGGTGTGTGGTCTCCCCTGCTCTTCCTCCTCCTCTGTCTCCCACTACTGCAGCTGCCGCTGAGGGGGGTGGGTGTGTGGGAGTCGACGGATTGGTGCTAGGGGGTGGGTTGTGAGTGAACCTAGGGTGCAGCAAGGGGTGTGTGAAAGGGGGGTGCTATGGGAGTGGAACTAGGGTTTGAGCAGGGAGTGTGTGTCGAGGGTGTAGGGCAGCTAGAGGAGGTTGTGTGAAGGTAGCTGTCGTGTCGCCTGCAGCGCCTGTAGTCCGTCGCCCTTGCTTCGGTAGCCAGTGAGCCTGTTGCATCAGTCGCCAGTGGGTCCGTTGCTCCTGCCGCTCGTCTATAGCCGCGGAGCGAGTTGCTCCAGTAGTCCGTCGCCCTTGCTTCGGTAGCCATTGAGTCAGCCGCTCCTGTGCCCATGCCTCTGCAGCTTCAGTCGTTGCCTCCCATCTTCTCTTCCTCCACAGTTCCTCCTCCTCACTTGCCCGCTGTGATTAACTCTAGCTTTGCTTGCTATTGTGAACTCCTGCTCTATGCCTGCTTGCTCATTGTGCTGATTACACCCCACTTTGGCTATGAGGATGTGTCAGAATGTTATAATTGTCTAGCCTCCAGTAGGGTACTCTATAGCGAGTACAACCCAATTAGGGTTTCCTATATGTATGCCAACTGCTGCTAGTGCAATCTCCTCTCTTCTTCATTTCTGTTTCTTCACACAGCCGTCAGATGTGATTAACATCGATGCATGAAAATGTGCCATGTGGGCCAATCGGACAAGATTTGGAAGTTTGCGATTTCGAATTCTTATTGGCCAGCAATTAGAACAGTGACGGTTTCTGTTAACGCTTTACTTCTTTGGGTGTACGTTTTTTAGCAAATTCAAATTTCAAAATTTTTAAACGTTGATCATACAGGGCATACATATTGCCGCCATACTAGACAAAGTACGCATAAAGTAAAACTAAGTAGCCTTGCAAACTCGCCAAGTTAGAAAACTGATGTACTGTCACCTGGAACAACAGAGCATGGAAACATGTTAAACATGCTCACCTTGTTTGCGTTTTCACACCTTACCTTTTGCATTTGTAATAATGGAGTACGCTATGATGTTGAAGACTGAATACATGCGCTTCTGAAGATAAGTCTGCATTAGCAGGTACCGCCCTGCAAAATAAGCTCAAACACTATAAGCTTCACGTGAGTGATAACTTTGCAAGTTTAAGTGAGCCATGAAGTTAGAAACTATGAATGGTGCACAAAAGGGCTTACTGATACATACCTCGCTGAGATTGCGGCATTGGGGTTAGCGGAAAAGGCATTTGCAATACACAAAAAACCTCATACTTAGCCTCAACCGCATTCCGATGTTTAAGCACACGCCGATAGAGATATTCCACTGTTTTTTGCCTTGACCGGAATAAAGGAACGAGCTGCAAATCGTGGAAACGAGAAATAGGACGCAAAATGGAGCTGTACACATAGGAGAAATGCGTTAACCTGCACAAGATAACGGGACCGTCGACCAAATTCAAGAAGAGTAGTAGATTAATGATGAAAAAACATAACCGCATGAGCGAATCCAAGACTTTTCGTAACATTAAAAACAAAAATAATCAAACCATACCTGTCAGAAATGCACCTTAGCATCACTACGCGTGCGCCAAACCTCCGCGGAAACAGGGAAGGAATACAGGTGAGAGGGAGAGGAAGAACAATTTGTTCGTTGGAGCTGGGGTCTACTAATGTGGCGATAATGAAGGTTGGGGGTTGATTGGGCGGACGGTTGATCTGGTTTGGTGTGCTGACGTGTAGATATGGGAGGGTGGGGTTTGATTGAGTGTTTATAGAAATTAGTATGATTGGTTGTTAAAATTCGTTTGGCTCTCACGTCAGACTGTAGAAGAGGTTTCGGTTCAGATTAGACCCAAAACAAAAATGTTGTATCCACATGTACAACCTCATTGGATTTCGTGGAAGCGTTCTCTTTCGTTAAAATTGTTGTTCCCATCTCAAACTCATTATCACTGTGCGTGACCGCTTTCAAGTCACTTTCGAGTGCCTTTTTTGTACGAGAAACTACTGTTGCCCAACTATGCAAATAGGTGTGCTGTTATTTGGCAACCCCTCGCAACTTTCTGGCTGAGATTTTGCAGAAAAGCCTTCGGACCCCCAATTTCAACATTTTCCTTTTCCGTGATGGCGGTGATAAGCGGGGTGGTGAGAAAGACAGTGATGGTGTTTTGAGGCGGCTTGGTACAAGGGGAAAAGTTGAGGTGAGCGGGTGTTGGAACGTCGGGGGCAAGCAGAAGAATGGGGTACCCTTTGGTTGCTGCCGAATCCGTGTGACAAAAGCTGCATTGTTTTCCCCGTTCGAACCACCCGCACGTTGTGGCATCGCAACGGACAGTCGCACACCGCGTCGTCAGCCGTCGCTAGCATCGCCAATTTGGTCGTCGCCGGCGATGAGGTCACACAAGGTGACGATGATAAGCTACCATCAGGTTTGAGCCGTGAGTGAAACATTGCTGGTGTTGCTCTCAGTTTTAAGCTGTAAGTGGAGCATCGACGTCCATATCGATGATCTCAGACATTTCTGCAGACTAATTCGCTCCACATATATTATAGGCCGCTAGTCAGATCTGAGAAACTTCTCTTGAATCCGAATACTCTCACGCATGCAGAGAGGTTTTTGCAGCACCACTGGATCTTCGAGAAGTATTGAAAGGAAAGGGGAATGCGATAGAGAGTATGGCTAAGCAAACTGGGAATATAGCGGCGATCTGGGTTACCAAGCATGCGCAAATGAGGAGATGTCGCACTATGATGTGATGGAACTGGAAGCCGCAAATTCAATGTAGGGATAAATCTGACTCTGATTGACGGAAAAATATGCACTCGTGACAATACCCTACCCAACTTTTCTAACACTAAAACAGACCGCCCTAGATTGTACCATCAACCGCATTCTGACACACCCTACAAGTTTGTACGATACCCTTACAGTTCATTTATCATTGTTGAAGGCAATGGGTCATGGTTAGAAAAGGTGAAACAAACAAACGGCTCGAGAGTGCAGGTGTTTGTAATAAATGGCAAGTAGAGAGTTACAACTTCAGATGTATTGTACACTTAGGGCGTCGAACATTTTTACGTCCAGGCCAAACAGTCGAACGTATGGTCAGGCTTGGCGAACGCGAAGAGGGTAACATATATGCAAAGAATGCGGGAATCTCTATGCTATTTTGTTCGCCAGCACGTAACGCAACCACTGAAACCACCCTCATTATTAAGAGCAAAACATTGTCAAACGTTCTTTATAAGTTTGTTATGATTCTAGACTACTATGGGGTTCTTAGTAAGGGGTATATCATTCTCTCGACACTTGACTTGTACTCCCTTTCCTTTACTACTCAACGCATTCCACTATTCAACTATTAAAATCAGAGGGCCAAGAAGGCCCAAATTGCCTCAACCTTCCTAACCTTGGTTGAGTTTGGCCCTCGCACCCAGAATCTTGGCCAATTGTGCTGCTCGCTCAAACCAAGCTTCCTAAGGTTGAATTTCTTGGCTCGCGGGTTTTACGATGGTATCATGAGTGGATAAACTCCTAGCCTAGCCTAGCCTGCTAGTGCTCCGTTGCTTAGTCTAGCCTAGTACCGCTCCGTCACTTCGTAGTCGCTGTGTCACTCCGTAAGAGCCTACCCTAAGTAGCACGCGCCCACCCAGCAAAGCAGTGGTTGCCACCCAGCAAAGCAGTGGCCGCCACCTTGCATAGCAGCGCGCGCATCAGCAGAGTAGCGCGCGCGACTCTGCGGAGCAGCGTGCGGCCTTGT